AAATGAAATTCTCGAATTGCAATTGAAATGTTTTGATAAACATTTGAAAAAGGTGTATACAAGGTAGTCAAGGTAGTTTGAGAAATTGATAATGCAACCCTTCTTAATATGGAATTCATATATCAATTTAAAATAAAATGAAAAATAAATTCCATAAAATCTGATGCAAAGCGATTGGCAAATTTTCAGCAAATTAAAAAAAATATTTTTTTCTAAAGATTTAACTAAGAGTGTTGCAATATATATATTTGTAGGTTTTATAGGCAGGGAACTTAAAAATATTAATAAATTAAATTATTCAAAAAATTTTGCCACTGAACACAAGATTTGCGTACATTTCGAAGCAAGATATTTTCGGTTAAATTTTGAAAGCTGAATGTTGTCAAAACAAATTTATGAAAAAATTGGAAACATATGACTGCATGAGACTACCTTGTATCACCAGCTAGACCATTTTAATTGAACGTCATTTTGTGTTAATATTTTGGCACATGTACCATAAATTCTGAACAGGCAAAGTTTTGTTTTACCTCCTTGTCCCCCTCTCGCCTACAAACTCAGAATTTGCCAAATAAAAATTTGCCTGTGGAAAAGGGGACTTATATAACATATTTCAAATATAAATTATATTCACAAAAATATGAAATTTTGACTTTGACCTTATGTCATTTGTAAACCGTGACCCAAAGTACATTTACATATATGATTTTAAATCGACTCGAATAACGAAATCCAGAAATACACCCTAATTGTTTACACATACCTTTAATCATGATCTAAATACGGATCAGCTGATGTTTGTTAGTATACATACAAAATTATAAATTTGCTGCAAAAATATTTGTTTGCAATTTGAACATGAAACGAAGAATTACAACAATGGAAATGTTTTTGCAATGGTGCGATCGTTTGGAAATTAAAAAAAAAAACAAAGAAAAACACAAAAATTCTATAAATAATTGTTATTTAATTTTTGTATTTGGTAACCGTTAAATTTAAAAACAAACAACATGTGAAAACGGTTGCAAATTTTGGTACATTGTGAGAGAGTTGTATTTTTTCGCACAAAAACCCCGTTGCATCTCAGTTGTATAATGATTTCGATCATGATTTAAAATAAACCATGCCGCAGAATGATTTAATTTTGTATGGTAAATTTAGCCTGATTAAGGAAATAAACCCTGATTCGTCCTTTAATCATGATCAAATGTTATATGTAAATCCGCTTCCACAATGTTCTAAAAGTTTACTGGGGTAAAGCTACGTTTAGACTACTAAATCCACTCGATCTCAAACGTCAATTCCATTGCGTATACGTCACGTTAATCCAGTTCACAAATATTTGACTAATACGCTATGGAATTGACATTTGAGATCGAATGGATTTGGTATATAACGTTTTATTTGCTCTGCATGAAATTGAAATTTACATATAACTTCTAATCATGTTTAAAGGCTGATTTATCACACAAATTGATTTGAATTTGTATGATATATCGTGTGGCAGAGTTCATTTTAAATCATGATCGAAATCTTGATACTAATGAGATGCAATGCGGCTTTTGTACGAAAAAATACAGCTCTCTCACAATGTACTAAAATTTGCAACTGTTTTCTCATGTTGTTTGCCAAATAAAAAATTAAAGATCAATGGAAAATAAATTTCAGTGTGGCAATTGTTTGTAGGGATGTGTGTGTTTTCTTCTTTATGTAAGCCAGCTTGATCCCTTTCTTGTTGTTTTAAAAATAAAAAAACAACAAGATTTTTATGTTTAAAGTGGGTTATGGTCACATTGATTATCATATCCCAAGCAAAAAACTAAGAGGACTGATGAGGATTTGTGGCGAAATCGGAAACTATAGTCTTCATTTGTAAGAATAAATGTATGATTTCATGTTCTGACGGGCATTCGAACAACGTAGTTCGCTCTCAGAATTACGTACATAAATTAACCCGTTCATACAACACTATTCTTAATTCATGTCATCAGAGTTTTTTTATTTCAAACTTATTGTTTCTTGTTTTACACCAAAATTCTAACATATTTGCATGAATCACATATGGATTTAAATAGAAAAATTAATCCTCTTTATCCTGACTATTGTATGAACCCATATCTATCTACTTTTAATGTTTTCCATTTTTTTTCTGAAAATATTGTTGTTTTCATACATTTTTATATTTTCTAAATTCAAATGCATGGTATAATAATAGAAGGTAACAGCAAGTGTTGTTGTACAAAAAACGATACAACAACCACATGGAAATTTGTTGTTGTAAGTTCTACAAGTGTCAACTCATTTGACAGAAAAATGTAAACAAACAAACAAATTATCATCAAATTATTTTTATTTTGAAAATGAAATATTTTCGAATCCTCAGAATAAAAATTGAAAATCATGAATGAAAATCTTTCAAATTTATATTTCTATCGCTTCCACATCTTTCCTATAATTGAGCCATTGCCATATATATGTGTAACACATATGAAAATGCTCGGAATAGCGAATTATTCCTTGAAGAAAGATTTGCTTCCTCAAACTTTCCCAGCAGGCAGATTGAGTAAATTGAATAGTGGAGCACATTTAATAAAGAACAATTTCAAATTGTATGCGTTCCCAATTTTCCTGTTGGGTGATTTTTAAAAACATAATTTGTCAAATTCATATTGACACTAGTATAACGTTGGAATCAAATCAGCTGGGATTTGCTGTTACCTTTTATAATTGTACCATGATTCAAATGTCACATATAAAAATTTAGAGAATTTTTTGTTTGAGTTTCCCCACATTTGTTTCTTGTTAGAACCAAGTGGAAAGAAATTCATATTGCATTATGTAGATAACAACATCCTGCTGCATATATAAAAACTAGACATTTTTACTTTTCATTCATCATTTTCAATTTTACTAAAAAAGTTTGAAAATTTTATAAATATTTTCAATAAATGGGATGGGACAAATTCTTCGTTATCGCTCAAACAATTTTGTATGGGGAACAAAGTAATTACTTCATAATTAGGGGTCGAGCAACGAATGAGAGAGCGATTTTGAAAAAAATACTGACTTTACATTCACTTTTCGCGATTTTGGTAAATTGTTAAAATTGTTTAAAATGTACAGAACGACTTGTTCAATTTGTTTTCATTTATTCTTACATTATTGCCCATAAGGTAGATGTGTACTTTCTCCTTCTGACAGAAGCTAACTTACCTTGTACCATATTCCAAACGATCACAGCTTTGCGAAAACATTTCCATTGTTGTAATTCTTCCTTTCATTTTCAAATTGCAAACAAATATTTTTGGTTCAAATTAATAATTTTGTATATAAGCATCAGCTGGTCGGCATTTAGATCATGATTAAAGGTATGTGTAAACAATTACGATGTATTTCTGGATTTGGTTAATCGAATCGATTTAAAATCGTATATGTAAATGTACTTTTATCTTTCGACAAATCCATGTATGGATGTGTAGTCGATTTTCGAGAGAAATCGCGATTTTGGGAAGAAATCTTTAAAAAATCTTGATCCCTGCATTTTATTATGCATTGTAGCAGATTCAGCGTCATGCTACAATGATACGTCCAATGTAGTGAAACAGAAATATAAACATTTTTGATTGATATTGATATATATGGTCTGTTCCCGTAGTGCAAGAATCTACTAGTTGTTACTACGATAACGAATTTTCCTTTATGATATCGAAGAAAATAGTGAAATCGAGTAGATTCTTGCAGTACGGGAACAGACCAATATTTTTTAAGATTTTTTAGTTTCATTCCATTTTTATTAACACAGTCGATTAATCGATAATCCATCAAATCGATTTCGTCAACCCTTGTGTAATAGATGTCATCATGAGACATTGACACACACTTTTTTATAATCTGGCATGTCTCTGCCATGAAAAGTCATCTCTCGATAACACTTTGCTCATTCAATGATGAGATAGACACATATTTTTTATGGGCCACTAATAAAACAGAGAAAAAAAAAACAATGCTGGTGGTGTACTAATTACGCATAATTACCTAATCTCTTTGATTACAATTCACTTAACAACGATAGTAAATCGTATTAAAATTAGTTTAAAGCATAAAAACGGAATATCAAATCAAATTGTTCATAATGAGAGAACAACACCATCGTGGATTACTCTCATCTAGAGATGAATGCACCAATACAACTTTACTGCTTGTCAAAATTATAGGCACGCAACACGGGCAATTTTCATAAAAATTTGATTTGTCGTTGAAGAAAAAAGCAAGAAATTGCAAAATATACGATTAGTTTTGTTGAAAATTTGATTGGAAGCTACTAAGTATTCAATGTGAGGATATTGAAAATAAATTGGCTGTTAAACAATAAATGCAATCGGAAAAGTTAATTTGAGCAAGAACAAAAAAAAAACAAGAAGAAAAGCAAAAAAGAATCCATCCAACGAAAGTTAGGAGAGTGAGTGTGGTGTGCGTGTGTTTGTTTGTACCGACCGACCAACCTACGACGACGGCTACGACGAAAAAGTGACAAGCAGCAGCTTTTGCGAATTACTGGTTGGTTGATTGGATTTCTATTTTTTTGTTTGTTTTATTGTTGTTATTACTTCTTCTCTTTGGACCCGACGACGACTGAAGTACGTACGTGGCGTTAACTAGTTTACTTGTCGATAATTGTTAGTTTTTCCTCTAGTGAAATTGTTGCGATTGTGCTTAATTTAATAATTGAATCTTCCCTGGTGTGTGAAAACGTAAAACAATTAAGGACTTGTAGTCAGTCAGGGTGTTCAGTGTGACAGAGTGTCGACAATAACAAAAAAAAAACAAATTGGAACATATCGAAGAAGCAGAAGAAGAGTAGAAAGAAAATCAACACCATTTACCTATTTGTACATCGGTGTACGGTTACGACGTTTACGCGATACCGACCAACCGACCGACGACGACGATAAAAAAAAATTAAAAAGTCTACGACGACAGCAACAAAGCACGGGACGAGGCGGACGAGTGTAAAGAAAAACAGAACTGAGGCGCTGGTGGTGTGATAATGACAGATGTTTCCGTAGTTTCTAAAGTACCCGGCAACGACAATGAAAATGACAATGACCCGGAGATGAAAGGTTGGCTTCTCAAGTGGACAAATTACTTGAAAGGTTACCAAAAACGCTGGTTCGTATTATCAAAGGGTGTTCTAAGTTATTATCGTAATCAAGGCGAGATGACTCACACATGTCGTGGAACCATTTCGCTGCACGGTGCTCTCATTCACACCGTCGATTCGTGCACATTTGTCGTCTCCAACGGTGGAACACAAACATTTCACATCAAAACTGCCAATGAGGTGGAACGCCAATCGTGGGTCACCGCTTTGGAGCTGGCCAAGGTAAAGGCCATTCGGGCCATGGAAAGCGAGGAGGAGGAAGAGGAGAAAACCTTCCAAGTGGTGCCGAGCCAAGAAATAACGACGGTGGTACGCGATCTAACCGACCGTCTGGAGAGTCTACGCACCTGTTACGATTTGATAAACAAACACGGTGTGGCTCTGCAAGGGGCTCTCAACGAATTGCGACTTGCGGCAAGCGACGAAGAAACAGTTGCCAGTCGTATCAAAATCGTGAATGAACGCGCTACACTCTTTCGCATAACGTCCAAAGCAATGATAAACGCATGCAATGATTATTTACGCTCAGCAGAGTCGCAGGGCCACAAGTGGTCGAAAGCTCTGCAGCACGAACGAGAGAGTCGCCAGCGCCTGGAAGAAATGGTCGAACAATTGGCAAAACAACATACTCAACTGGAACAGGCCGCCCACTTGGTGCAGAACAATAAAGTTGTACCGAACCCACCCCTGGCTGCTCCCCAAATTATGGACTCTTCCATGTCACAATCGAATTTTGTCTCGGACGACGAGACAGAGTTCTTCGATGCCGAGGGTTCGAGCACTCTGACACAAAACGAATCCAACGAAGACAGTCCCCAGAATGGCTCGGATGGGGGAGCATTCATAATGCAAATGCCTCATAGTAATAAACAAATGCAGGCTGAACAGTTCAGCTGCAGCAGCAGTTCATCGGAAGCTGACCTTTCATCTATTCGGAAATTTCCGCAGCAGGTCTGCGTGTTGGATAATCAGAAATCTATGGACACACCCGATCGGGCAGCACCAACAGGCGGCTCGGATCGTAACACCAAAATTCCTTCAGGTAACAATTCATCGCCCGGTGGTCATAGTGACAGTTCGTCGTCCAGTAGCAATCCAAACAATCCAGCGAACTCTGGCGGTAGTGGTGGTTCGGGAGGAAGTGCGGGATCCGGTGGCGATGATGATCCCAACAAACCGGGCGGAAAGTCGTCAAATGTCCCCGAAGATGGACAAGTGTGCAAAAAGGTAGTTCGTCAAAGACGTACACGTGTTCCTGACAAACCCCACTATCCACTCAATTTGTGGTCCATCATGAAGAACTGTATTGGCAAGGAATTGTCCAAAATACCCATGCCTGTGAATTTCAACGAACCACTGTCCATGTTGCAGCGTCTTACCGAGGACTATGAATATGCCAGCATATTGGATTTGGCTGCTCGCTGTACAGATGAATGTGAACAATTGGCCTATTTGGCAGCGTTTACGGTCTCAGCCTATGCTACGACGGCCAATCGTACAGGGAAGCCGTTCAATCCACTACTAGGCGAAACCTATGAATGTGACCGTACCGATGATTTAGGTTGGCGTTGCATTGCCGAACAAGTGTCACATCATCCGCCAATGGCTGCTCTACACTGTGAGGGTCGTGATTGGACATGTTGGCAGGAGTTTACAATGACGAGTAAATTTCGTGGAAAATATTTACAGGTAAGAAGAGATGCCATTTAATATTTCTTTAGATTGTCATTATTTTTTGTTGATGTTTTTGTTTTGCCCAGCCTTAGTCTAATTTGATATCCATTCACATTTTCATTTCTACTGCTGCGTGTGAATCACATTTCCTTTCTTCCCCATTGTTTGGCCATTGTTGGCAATATTGTTGTCGCATATGCAGCAAAACAAAAAAACCAAAACGACAACAACAACACATTCTTTATACATGTACTTATACATTTAGAAACAAAATATAGTACAATGTTTGATTATAGTATATTCGGAGGTGGGGAAGATACAAAATAGAAAAAAAATGAGAGGCAGAGATCAGAAAATATACAAAAACGCTTTTGGCCTCTTAAAGAATCATAAGCTTATAGAGATATGTTTTTTTTCTCGAAATGTTAATACCTATTCTCTATTGTTATAAATTACTATATAGAATTGTTGTGCCTCTGTTCATTCATACATGCTATATTTTCATGAATATGCCGCAGCACATGAACAATTTTTGCCAGACTCTTCTCATTATTGTTTAAAATTGTTTATTAGTTATTTACACATTTTGGTGCATTTTTATATGGAACTGCGAAAAAGAAATAGTTTTCCCTCTACTAAATCGTTGTTTCGATAAAAAACTGAATTTTGGAATAGGCTCGGCTAAAACTGCTCAGCTGTTGTGAATGTTAAATTCAAGCCTGCCTGATAAGTTTGGCAATGGAATTCTGTCCACCCGTCTCTGGATAATGGATGTATGCGCTTTAGGTTATGAGTACTGGCGGTAGCACTTAAGCATTCTATGGGGTTGAAGAATATTTGGCGAATATTTCAGCAGGAGTTCCTTGTCCACTGAAGGTGGGGGAACCCAGGCTGAGAGGATCCGTCCGGTTGGGATCTCAGATAGGGAGACCAAAGCTGTCAACAGATCTCACGAGGAAATATCTCGATTTCCTGTTCAAGCAGTTTATGACCTTGGCGCCTTTCTGCATGAAGGCACTGCTAACTGAAGGGCTCCTTCAAAGAGCAACCAATGACTGTCACTATTCCTACCATAAGGATCAGATTTGTCAATGCTTGCCACTTGAGCAGCTACCGTGGTTGGTCTGTGATATGGCTTCTTCTGTCTCTTCCGACGACTGGTGGATCCACTCAAAGCTTTAGCACCAACCGCTTGACCTTTGTCGCTAGGCGTGGAATCGGGCTTTGAGACAGAGCCCTCCACACGTTGATCAACCTTATTGATGACAGTTTGTGTCGGGATGTTCTTAGTAGCTATTTCCTTTGCCTTTTGACTCGGATTAGGCTTCGGATCAGAAGTCAGCTTCGCACCCATGTCAGAGACAGTGTGCTTCGCCGATTCCACTACTTCACTCGATTCAGTGGTCTCCTTGGATATTTTTCATCGAGAAGTTAGATTCGGGAAAGAAATCCTCTCCATCGGATTAGGCTTCGGATCAGAAGTCAGCTTCGCACCCATGTCAGAGACAGTGTGCTTCGCCGATACCACTACTTCACTCGATTCAGTGGTCTCCTTGGACATTTTTGATCGAGAAGTTAGATTCGGGGAAGAAATTCTCTCCATCTGGGGCTCACGATTGAGAGCGTGCAGATAAATTCTTTCGAACTTCCTTACGAATCTCATCTTGCCCTTGATGACCTCATCCCTCTCCGAAAGCATATTCGCGTCTCGCCCCATGAATTTGGGAATATACGATACGGCACGTTTGTAGTGCTTCGCATCGGATACTTCTAGGGCATTTCCGACCTTTGAGCCGCTGTCCGTTGCTGGGGTCTTAATAGATTCCCCATCGTCGGACATCACCTCTGTCGCAGTTTGCCTCTGAAGTGTATTCCTTTTATTCTTCTTAACCATCGTAGTTTATTAGTTTAAGGACACTACCCCGATCTGTTTTGGTCCACGGGGAATTCGAAGATCCCCAAGGTGCAGAGAAAAGTTGACCTAGGTCAGCTTCACCCTACACATCACCCTACACATCCCATCCGCCAACCGCCTAGTAGGAGATTGACAACTCCCCTAGTGACAATCATCCGCAAATAGTTCCGGAGATATAACCCCGCATCTATAGAGAACTCCCAGCTTTTCATGGTGCGGATCATCATTTGGAGTGGGTTTACAAATTTCCGTGCATCTGTCTGCCTGGCCGGCTGTAGCGCACTATAACTTACGAAGGAAGTAACTGATTTCATTCAAACGTTGCACATCGTACTTTCAACAAACCTAGGTCAAGATCATTTGAAAAAAATTAAAGTTGAATCGCTAATAACTGGTGTCGTCAAGGTGTCTTTAAAATTACTCTATATAAATGACTGCCGTTATAAACGATTTCGACTATAAATGATTATTTACAATATACTCCCGAGCCACCAGAATATTGCTTCTTTGCACACTACTTAGTTCAGACATATCCATTCTGCCACCAAACAACCAATGAAGATTTTTATAGTCATAGGTCCAAATTTTTCCAAAAAGACTCCTTCAAAATAAATAACTATAAAGCATAGCGTACTGAATTAAGTGTAGTATAATGATGTGTCGAGTTTTGTTGAAATCGGCTCAGATTTAGATTTTCGTCCGATTTAATGTTAATGGATTTAATGCTTTCTTCGATGTGCACGAAATTTGGCATAGTGTACTGAATTATGTGTAGATTGATGTGGATCATGTTTCGTGAAAATCGGTTCACATTTAGGTATAGCTCCCATCGACTTAAAGCAAATGGGGCACCACAGTCCCAATATAGCATAATGAATTAAGTGTAGAATTATGTGTGTCGAGTTTTGTTGGAATCGGTTCAGATTTAGATACAGCTCCCATATATATTTTCGTCCGATTTAATTTTAATGGATCACCAAAGTCCCTATATTTCCTACGATTTACACGAAATTTGGCATGGTGTACTGAATTATGTGTAGATTGATGTGGGCCTTGTTTCGTGAAAATCGGTTCACATTTAGATATAGCTCCCATATATATTTTCGTCCGATTTTAAGTAAATATTGCACCAAAGGATGATCACAATGGACATTGTCTCCGAGTGGACGGTTGTCACAACAACCGTACATCCCTAACCTTACCTAACCGTACTGAATTAAGTCTAGAAAGACGTGTGTTAAATTTCGTGAAAATCGGTTCAGATTAGTTATAGCTCCCATATATATTTTCGTCCGATTTAATGTAAATGGTATACGAAAGTCCCTATATATCTTTCGATTTGCACGAAATTTGGCACAGCGTACTGAATTAAGTCTAGAACGTATGTGTTAAGTTTCGTGAAAATCGATTCAGATTTAGATATAGCTCCCATATATTTTCGCCCGATTTAATGTAAATGGTGCACCACAGTCCATCACCATATCTTTCGATTTGCACTAAATTTGGCATAGTGTATCATATAATCGGCCTTATTGGTTAATAATGCTTTTTATTACATTAAATAGGGCCAAAAGGCGCTAAAATAAATAAATTAAATGAAAAATGAAATGGAATATTATATTTCCCAAATATCATTCTTAATCAATTAATTCTTAAAACAACCAAATTATCCAGGAATAAAAAAATTGGCTTTACCAACTTCAATAACCAAATGATTTGAACTCTAGTGCAATTTTCTAAATCGATAAAAATATAAATGTATTTACATATTTTCATTCGCCCATTCAATTGACAATTTTTTTAACTAATTTTCTTTAAGTTTATTTTTTTTTTTATTTATACAATTTGTGCCTAAAGAAATCTCGACAAATCAAATTGTCATCGCTATAGAAACCATACAAACGTCGCCCATTTGAGAAGTTTGAACTTCGTTTAGATTCTTGCCGTACATATATATATGATGTATATACATACACTCATCATATATATCTTTCTCTACTATACTACTACGCCACATACATACATATGTATGCAGCAGCACTATATTAATAATCTAAATAAATGAAATATATATATTTTTTGTTCACTGTCTTTGTTGTTGTGTATGAGGCTCAGTTCCCAGTTCAGTTCAGTTTTGGTTATTTGATTTGATAACAAGTAAACACAGTGAAGTAGTAACTATGCTTTATTTGTGACACTTGCTGCTGCTGCTGCTGCCGACTAGCTTAGTGCTATTCATTGTTGTTCATTGTCATATGTGTGTATGTATGTATATAAACGCATATTTCTTTCATTGACACATTTGTGAATTTGAATATATTCACAGAGTATTGTTGTTATAATTGAACATTATTCTTCGATATCAGTTCGAAAAACAAAAACTCTTAATGAGATACACTAATTCCTCGCTTATCGTTTCCTTCTAAAAATGCAAAAACAAAGAAAAAGGAAATTTGTTTTCATGTGTGTGTGGATTCATTTATTAATTATTTTTTTTCTTTTATTTGTTTTCCCTATTATAATTTTTTTTTTTTGTTAAATTTGATTTGTACGAGCCCAACACTTATGAGACAACAAAAGCAAATAAAACCGAGTACAAATACACATCGCTACGTACTTATATTTCTTTTGGCTCAGCGAGCGGTTCCCTCTGTGTAAACATTTGCATTAAGCTATACATAATATATACATATAACTAGAGAAACATTCAACATAAATAATATAAATGACTAATTTAGCTGAAAACAACTGTTTTATATAGAATCAAAAATATATTGCAGTTTTTTTTTTGTTTCTTGAAACGAAATTTACAATTAATAATATTGTAAATATATATTATGATGTATACGATTTTTAGAATTAGTTTTTTTTTCTTATCTGACCTTATTTCCAATTAGGGATTGAGCACGAATATTTGATAAAATCGTTGAAAAAAACTATATTCATTTATTGTGGCTTTGTTTGTTGGCATTTTGAAAATCGTAATAGTTCAACCAAAAAATAATAATGCATAAAATTAAAAGGACTTCTCTTTTTTACATCCTTCACCACACTGTGGCACAGGGTATTATGTATTTGTGCATATGTTTGCTTGGTTCCTTTTGAGAATATGCATAGAATC